TGTGGCTTTGTTTGGAATTATTTTTGTTGGCGAAATAGTGCAAAAACAGGCAATATGGTGTCTAAAACGTAAGTCTCTTAATAAAACTTCTAGTTTATTGAACAGTTGTAAATAAAATCAATATTACATTTGTGGTAATTCTTGGAGAAAAAAAGGCACTCTTCCGTGTGAAATTTAATAACTATAAGAAGTGGTATAAATATACACATTTTCTGCCCCCATGTCTTGAATTTGTGATCATTCTGAATGTATTTTAATAGACTGAATCATGCAGTGAAAGAGCGCACTGTAAATGCGCACGCGCACTAGACTTCACGTAATGCGTGCAGTCTGTAGGTGTTTTGAATGTTTTTTTGCGTCCAAAGCTTGTCGCATCATAGCCAAAAAGATTTGAGGCTGTAAAGGCGCTTTAGCTAAGTACTGAGTTAAGGGTTTGAATACTTATGCAATATACTTACTTCAGTTTTTTTTTTGTTTTTATAAATTTTCAAAGTTGTGACAGTTCTGTTTTTGCTTTGCCATTATGGTGTATGGAGTGTAGATTGATGTGGAAAAAAAGTAATTTAAAGCAGTTTAACATAAGGCTGCTTCATAACAAAACATGAAAAAAAATGAATACTTTCGCAAGGCACTGTATATGTATATATATATATATATATATTTGCTTGTTTGTATGTTCCCTCATTTTGGCCGATAGCTGATGCCAATACCAATATATTTCATTTTGTCTGGAAATAACTTTAGACCTTAAAATAAGTCTCTCCTTGGCAGGGATTATGAACAAAAGATTTTTAATGTTGGTTAATGTTGAGCAAAAATGTACTTCTTCAAACTAAATACACAATATTAAAATTCTCTTTATAATGAAAGTATGAAAGCTTTTCATCTTCAATTCTGTATTGGCACTTACCTGTTTGCTGCTACTACTTTCTTCTTCGCCTCAATCTCTTTTTTTCCCACTTCCTCTGTCTGTTCTCTCTTCTCGTCTGCCTCCATCTCTTCTGTGTCCATCAGTCCCAGCTCTTCTAAGTCTTTCTGTCCCTCCATCTCTCCTCTCTCCACTCTCTCACTCTCTCCTCTGTCTTCCTGGGCCTCTATCTCCATCTCCTGCATGTCCCTCCTCTCAGTCTGTCCTATTTCACGCTGCTCCCCTTGTCCTCTCTGGTCTTCGTCATCTATTTCTCTTTCTGCCTCATCTTCTCCTGTCCTCTCTTGCTGCCCCAACTCCACTCTTTCAGGATCACATGCTTTGATAAAAAAAACAAACAAAAAAAAAAACACAAGACATTAAAGATGCATTATATGGTTCAAAATGTGAGTAAACAAAGAAATATAAAAAGTTAAGACAAAAGATACAAGTAGAACAGAATTACCCACCACCAGCAATCTAGATTGTGTGAAAAATGATCTGTACTGACATTTAAATCTGATCCATCTCGATCAGTACACAATACAGGATCAATCTTAAGGAGCATATTGCAGGTTAGAGACCCAGTGAGGCAATGCATAGAAAAATAATGAAGGAAATACATTTTCTTTAAAATATACTTATAAATATGCTACTGAGGCTTCTGGAGTTGTTTTTGTGAGAAAATTTTACTTCTGCATCTGAAAAAGTCAAACCGTAAGTGACATTAAGGGAGGGAGCGGTCAATTTAAACAATAGGAAAACAGTGGATCCCAATGACAGGTGCATGACGCCACTGTTTTTTCTTTCTTTTTTTATTATTGTGAAGTGAAAGGAATGAATACCAATTCTCTCTCTTTGCGCAGACACAAAGAACTCTTATCAAAGTTAATTTGTGGTCGAGTTTGTGGTCATCAGGATCAATGGCACGGATAAACTTTTATCATTAGAATAATCCTGGTGTGTCCTTGCTCTCTTGACCACATAGCAGGCTCATAACTGTATGGATTTGGTCCGTCATAGGAGTATGAATAAACATTTACAATTTCCTCAGCGTCTGAACTGTCATTGTGATCCACTGTTTTCCTGTTGTTTAAATTGACCACTTTCCCTCTCGTCACGTCACTTCCGGTTTGGCGGTTTTCAGATGCGGAAGTAAAATTTTCTCACAAAAAAAAAAAGATTCCAGAAGCCTCAGTAACATGTTTATACGTATATTTTAAAGAAAATCTAGTTCCTACATTATTTTTCAATACATTGACTCACTGGGTCTCTAACCAGCATTATGCTCTTTACTAGAGAGTCAAGAATGTACTGATGTTGTGATGTGACCTACCTTCTAATAAACCTTCAAATAGCCACACTATCTTCTCCAGGACCGCATCCACTACCACTGGCAGCTCAAATGGGCATTGGAACTGGGCCACCCACTTTTTATTTTGCGGTCTGTACTTTCCCCATAGCAGGAGGGGAAAGTACCCAAGGGCCTTCATTTTCTCCACCTTAACATGGAAAAGCATATAAGCAAACACAGAGATTTCCAAGGCAAGGTTACAAAGGCAAGAAAAACATTATTATTATGATAGACATACAAGCTGGTGGTCAGTCCACTATCCTTAGTACGTGGCACGACTGGTCTTCAACGAGCCCAAAAGAGCCCATGTTACACCTCTCCTTATCTCCTTGCACTGGCTACCGGTTGCGGCTCGCATCAAGATCAAGACATTGATGCTTGCATATAGAACAACCACAGGCTCTGCACCCGCCAAAAAAACTTTGTCTTTCACTTTATTTATTCCTTCCCTTTCTAGCTTGTACTTATTTGAACAATGCCTGAAACTTGGTATTACGAGCACTTCCTGTGTCTGTTTGGCTCTTTAAGAAGAATCGCTTTATGTATTCCCCAATTGTAAGTCGCTTTGGATAAAAGCATCTGCAAAATGACAATGTAAATGTAGATGTTTTTATAAGGGTGCACCACTAGAGCAACTCCACGTATTTCCTTTCTGGGGTAACTGAGGCATATGCAAATAAGAAATCAAACTTTCTCTCTGAAAGATTCTGTAAAGCCCCCTGCATTAGTAGCAGCCAGTGATTTACACCTACTCTTCTGCATGACCAGTGAACCAAAAGAAAAACCTCTAAGTATGAATTTGCCTTCGATAATGGGCCTGAATGGATTCAAGTTGTAGGCAGGGCTAAATTCTGTGTATGTTTTTTATATTTATACATAGACTAGCTCATTATTATTTGAAATATTGCAAATGCAGTTGGGTTGATGATATCATGACATATGTTGTTGCTTCCCTGCACAATGTAAATACAATTCTATATTTATGTAATGTTGACAGGAACCTGCAATGCCTGACCAAAAGAGAAAGACAAAATGTTCATTACCAGCAGGGCACTGTTGTCAAAGATTTTTGCCTGATTGTGGGACTTTTTGACATTTTGTGCCCATTCCTTGGCTCTGGTCCGGAATGCATTTATACGGGCCGCCTGCCTGGACTTCATGTCCAGCAGCTTCCCACACTGAGTAAGGGAGAGAGACAGAGAGAGCAAGAGGGAGATGGTACTACAAAAAAAAGGTTCTAAACTGTAGTCCAGTTGATCAAGTATTGCAGATATTCTAGCCCTCTATTAAGGGCCTAAATAATAACTTGGATACCAATTGAATGCAATTAATTGAACAGACAGACTACATATGCAGCTGAATCAATGCACTGGCAAGTTTTAATAATATTAAAGGCATGATGCTAGAAACCAATTTAGTTATGTATCCATATTTTAAAGGTAAATACGAATATCCATTATCTGGCCACAGACATTATACCTTAAGTTGTCATTATTGCATGCGCTAGTGGAGATGTTGCCATTTTCTTGAATTGTGAAATCAAAATATGGATAATCTCAATTAATAGAGTTACCACAGTTGAGAACCACTGCAATAGAACAATGTACTGTCTGTAATAAACCGATTAAATGTCACATGTGTAGCCTTGTAAGAGGATGTTATTTAAAGGAACCAACAGTCAAACATTCAATATCAACAGGTACCTTTTCATCAGGTGGGAAATGTAACATTTTGAAAAATACCTACTGTGATGCAAATTTGTAGTGTTACAAAACAAAACTCTCCGCTGCAACCTCCAGTTTTATTGTCACTGTATTGCTTGGGCAACAAATACTGAGATTTTATGCCAATACATTTTATTTGAATTTGGACTTAATGACTCTGGCTTTAATGCTTGAAAATGGGGTTTAGCAGTTAGACAGTACAATAGCCTATTGTACATTATTTACCTTGGTGCATCTTCGATTGGCACAATTGATTTTTTCCAGGCAATGGGTGCACTGCCGAAGAGTTGATCCACCTGGCATTTTTACTACACACAACAAAAAATTATAATTATCATCATGCTATGCAACAAAATATTTAATTCTGCGGGAGGACCTGATGTGAGCATATCCTAAGCCTTTCCAATGGCACTATAACGATAAAAAAGCATTAAATGTACTTTATTGTCAACCATGGATAAATTAAATTGTGTTGGACATAGGAGCCTAATCCAACCCCAATGTAACATGCATCCATCTGCAAGCAACTAGTACCTGCCTGAATTATATCAACATGCTATTCGAGCAGATCTCTTAGTCTTAATTGTTTAGATTTTTAGAAGGCACATTAACTTACAACTCTATGTGTTTGCTGCGTAAAAACATGATATTTGATATTTGCATTGATCTGACCATAAACAGCAAGAAAGGCTTGTTGGAAATGCAAATTAATTCTCTGCCACGAGATGGAGCTTTAGGAGCGTTGAAATATTGCGGTTTCCCCGGTAACGGCTGTACACAAAGCAGCTCCTCGCTCATAAACCTGCTTTATCAGGAATTATAGGTAAAATGAAATTAAAATGGCAACGACACCTTTCTGAGGACAGTCGGTTCCCTTCAGATACATTCAAATAAAGACATCCACGCCGCATTTTTGTGCAGCGCTCATATTTATTCAATGCCATCATTACCTTTTGAAGTTTAATCCAGCCCTATCGCGACTCTTGTCTAGACCTCTTGAAATTATAATTAAGACATTTCTTATACCATTTAACTATTTAAAACTTTTTATGGCCTTAAGTTTGATACAACTCACTTTAGGAGTTTTTAAAGACCTGCGGGAGATTTGCATTTAAGATAGCCCGTCAGGCAGAGTGGTGATACATTTTGACTGTGGTAAAGTTGGTTTCATATTCACATATTCGAAGTTATGATTTCAATAACTTCCTTACCGTCTGTGCAAAAAGGTTCGTATGAGATTATTATTATTACTATCATGTATAACTATGATCTACAACCGTGTTTTCTTTTAGAGTCGTTGTCTTTCAAATGCGGGAAAAACCATTGCTCTCTATGGCTTGTGATGACGTCAGCGATCTCCAAGGGACAGTCTACAAATTACATGACATGTTCTGTCGGATTCATGATACGTTTGCGTGACAACAATTCATCTTAAAAAAATAATTTTGCCAATTGCAATGTTTATTTCAAGTTAAACATTTAACTGTAGTATATTCAGTAAGGCTAAAAGGAAACTTTAAGAACAACCCGTACCAGCATATAAAATGTATTGAGCTATACATTGGATAAAAGCTTTGGATAAAAGCGTCTGCTAAATGACTAAATAAATAAATAAAATACATGCTGTAGTATTACAAAGTCAAAAGAACTCAGTAGACATGACCATACTCATACTATGAGGTGTAGTGAGTTTTCTGAAGTGTGTTTGATCAATTAAAAGTTAAGGCCAATATTTATAACCATTAAAAATATATTAAAATTATAAAGTGAATCTATACTACGTTCAAAAAGTTTTCAAACTTGTTTTAAAAGAATTTTTAATGTATATATAAATCAATAAAGTACAAAGTTTACTATTTTCACGCATTACAATATGGAATAAATCAAGGAAATCAGACGCATTTTTAACGACTGAAGTTGTTTCCGCCTGCCGCTGCTTACACTTTTTAGACGCTCCCTTACTTTTCCAGCGCACAGAGAAAGATATTCAGAGGAGATTCAGGGAAAATATGAGAGTAGATAATTAATATTATATATTTCTTGATGAAATTAGTTGTAGCTGTTTGTCAAACATGTCAATATTATTAATTATCTTAGGTTAACATTTTTGCATCCACTGTTGGAAAGATATTGAAAAACAAAGTCCGAATATGTGAATATGAAACCAACTTTACCGCAGTTACATTTTGGTATGCATTACTGACCCCTGGGGGGTCCCGTAGACTAACGTTACCACTTACGCTAAAAACGCCTGTTGGTTTGTAGTGCTGTCATCAGCCATGTCTAAAAGCTGAAGACCCATGTCACTAAAAACTGCTTTATTATTATTATTATTTTTTTCAAACTGCAACAGGCAGTAGAAAGCTAATGACAGACTGCCAGCTGTGCTAACTGAGCAGCCCACAGTTTCACTAATAACGCTAATTTGAACGCATACGCTGCCATTTTGACACAACATCCCATGTAACGTGATGCAGAAACACTGGAATTAAAATAATATTGTTAACACCGCGTAATCTCATTACAAAAAAGATTGTTGCCCTACCTGTTTGAAGATGTACGCTCATCAGGTGAACTACGCGAACTGAGCCTCGCTGGTGACGTCATTGCCGTTCTTCTTCTTCTT